GTTTGCACGTTGTTGGGGGGCGAAATCTGTCTTAAGGATATTTGCTTTGGCATACCTCGCTTCATCTTCTTTTACCATTTTTCCTGCTTTTTTATTTGTTCTTTCGATTGGGATAGTCGAATTTTCGACAACAATTCCAATCATCAATCTTTAATTAATTAACAAATCTTGTCATTGATGATGGTTCCCTCCAAAAATTATATTTGCTACTTATTTTAAACGGTTTTGCTACCGGTACATCAAGGTGTATATCGACGTGTACATCACACTCACATGGGGGTGGGACCCGCTTGAATAAAAAAATATTTTATACAAGTGGGTCTTACCCCTATGTGAGTGTGATGTACACCTTAATGTATAATTCTTGATGTACAAGTAGCATTTTTGTATTTTAAAACACCTCGGAAATTTTTTGGACGAAAGCCATCGTCGAGAATAGCGATACGTGTTAATTAATAGAAGTTTACCTATAAATACCCTTTACCTTAGCAATATGTGGGTCAAATTTACTAGATAGAAAGATTCTATGATTTGATTCCGAATATTATGTAGCTGTCAAAAAACTTTATTCTAATTTAATTTAATTTAATGAGAAGGTACAAATTCATCATGCATTGTCATGGAAAAGTTAATGCTAGCACCTTATGAAAAGTTTATAGGAAACTCACAATTTTGCAGCCTGTCGGTAGGGAAAATTGCACTATTGATCTCTAACTTACTGTCTAAGAACGGAAACGAGTGGGTAACATACATATTTCACAATCATCGTTGCACTGAGAGGATACCTATGCATGATTCCATTCAAAATTTAAGCACGCATCTAAATTGAGAACTTGAACCTAACTTCAAGATTTGAACAAGTAACGATTTAGCGTCTACCTGAGAGTGATACTCAGCAAATAATAATCAAAATTTTTATCGTTATAATTTTAAAATAGTTGCACTTATTGACCAAAATTTGAAGAATGACCTATACACCTTTTTGACATTACTTTGTTTGAAAGGATATTTATGACAATTTACTAAATGAGCTAGTCAATAATTAGACTAACTATCCAAATTTTGATTAAAATCGTGTAAGAATCGCCCCGGATAGGGACTTAACAGAGATTTGAATAGTTTGCTGTGGGTGAGAACTAATTTAAACACTATAATCAAACGTCGA